AAGAAGATGATAACCTCTTGCTGCTGTTAGTTCTCAGTAATACAATGCGCCTCTCAAACTGGAGCTGATATGCAGCTGCTATGACTTGTGTTAACCAGTGATGGAACTCAAAACCAAGATGGGCGAACATATACAGTGGACCCTCTACTTACGGAATTAATCCATATTGGAATGGTGGCTGCAAGTCGAAAAGTCTGTAGGTCGAATCTCCATTGACCTACAATGCATTGAAAACCGATTAATCCCATAACCGGCGGTTTTTATCCCCACCTATTTGGCCCACCGGACCACTCTCAGTAATACAATGCACCTCTCAAACTGGAGCTGACATGCAGCTGCTATGACTTGTGTTAACCAGTGATGGAACTCAAAACCAAGATGGGTGAACATATAGCCCATTGGATGCACTGGTGTTTCAACTCCCATCAGTGCTAGCCAGCATAGCTATTGGTGATGAACAATGGGAACAGTAGTCCCAAGAAAGGCAGAGGGCCTGAGGTGCCCCACACCATCTTCAAAGAATAGCTGTATCAGTACTGCACACCTGTTTAAGTTTTTTTAAAATGCAGAAAACATCAAGTGGTTTAATGGAACACTGCAAATAGTACAAGGTGAAAGGATCTATGAGTTTTTCTGGTCAATTTCCCCCAGGTGCAGCGGGACCAACATGTTTTTCCTTCCTAAGCATGTTTCTGAAAGATATGGGCCATTCACTCACGGATCTGGCATGTCCTGTCTAGTTTGGCCCTTAAAATTAAGGGAAGATGGGTTAAGGACTCTGGAAAATCCTGAATGATCAACCAAGTGGAGCAGAGCAAGGTCTTCGTTCTTCTCTTGAAGTGTGTGTCTACATGATCAGAAATCCACCCCTTCCCACCCCAACATCATGCAGAGCCCTACTTTTGGCCTTAGGAAACCATGGGCGCTGCGGTTGGTTGGCGTAAGTGACCCACTGTGGCTCACATTTCTCCCAGTTTGCAACCACTTTCCTCTCCTGCCAAAGGATCACACTCAATTTGGAGATTATGCTGGTGATTTGCTGCCTGCAGCTACTAGATAGAAATAAAATATGGTAGGGGGAAATTGCCATTTTAAAATTGTCACTTGGTGAATGAAATCAAGCGGGGTAATGCCAGCCGGTGGAGATCGAGATGATTAGACCCATCCTCCATGACATTATACACATGGCAAAGGAGTTACCCCCTGATGGTCCTTCTGATGTTTAATGTGTTGCTCCTGTGCGGGGGTCCTACTCTGACACCTATTTTGTTAGTGATGTCTACAACTTGAATGTGGACATACATACAGTATGGATCACAACCACACGTATACAGGCTGATTTGACTAGGGGTGGTTGCTTTCCTTCAGCTCCTCTCCGACACTCACCCCGCAAAGATTTCTTTGCCAAAAAAAAAAGACTTTATTTATCCATACCAGTAAAACAAAACATTTCATTGTCCCACCCATGGTGGGAGCAGACATTCCATAGAGTCTTAGAGAAGTAATAACAAATACTTTTTTTTCCTCCTAGAAGTGTTTGTTGCTAGTTATAAAAGGACTTGCCCCAAAAAGGAACAAAATATTGTCATTTAAAAAAAAAGGTTAGTCCATTCAGAAGATGAATGGGGATCAATGTATTTGCTTTTGTCAATCCAGAGAAAAAGGGCAGGGGGAGTTTTTCAAAGTTTTTGTGGACAGTTCCTACAAATCAACATGGGTTTGGAAAAAAAAAGTAGCCAAGGGCAGTCCAGCAGCAGTCCGAAGCCAAGTCGAATGCTTGATTGCTAAATCTGTATTTGGCATGTACGAGAGTTCAGAAGTTGACAGAAACAGGAGGAAGGGAGGGAGGCAAGGCAGAAAGACGTTTTGACCTGCAGCAACTGCTTTAAAAGTATTGATCTATCACTAGCTTAGCCGAGTGATTGCAATAATAATACGTAATAAAAACAATAATTAGACTGTGTTCTTTTGAGCAGCTCCTAACATACTCTATATATCTCCTATTTGACTTCACATCGACACAGAGAAGAACAAACAGGAACAATCCACTCAACGCTGAACATAGTAGTTTTTTGCACAGGCCTCAGTGAGCCGCTGATACTTTTGCCTAATGGGGCCCTGCAAAATCTAAAGAGGGGAAAAACACCGCATGCTGGGGTTCCTCACTAAGAGCATAATTAGGTGACCCATGAGCTGAGCAAAACAGCATTAGCTTATGATGCTGACTCACACCCCCCCCACCGAGAATGACAGAGGCTTCCCTATAGCAAAAGGGAGCCGTCCTCAACAATTTGCATCTTTTGTGCAGCACATTTTGAGTATAAATGAGAGGGAAGGTAGCCACACCTCAAACAGTCATACCAGGTTTGGAGAGAGGGATGATGAGAGGTATGCTGGTCACTTTTCAATTGCACCTTTTAAAGTCATCCACAATGGTCGTCATCCTATCCTATTAGAGTAGACCCACTGAACCAACAGAATTTACATAGATGTTGACTCACCACTCTGCAACTGATCCAAAGGTTGTACTCTCTCTGCTGACTGAGTATTAAAGGCAGACTGAATTTAGTTCAGTTTAGTACGCACAGCCAAAGA